TCCTCCCCCTTCCTTCCTTTTCTTCCTCCTCCTCCTCCTCCTCCTCCTCCTCCTCCTCCTCCTCCTCCTCCTCTTTCTTCCTTCTCCCCCTTCCTTTTCCTCCTCCTCTTCTCTTTTCCTCCTTTTCCTCCTCCTCCTCCTCTTTCCTCCCCCCTCTCCTTCTTCCTCCTCCTTCCTCCTTTTCCTTCTCTTTACTTCCTCTACCTCCCCTCCCACTTCCCTTCTTCCCCTCCTCCTCCTTTCACCCCGCCCTCCCCTCCTCCCCCCCCCCACCCCCGCGCGAGAACTCCGTCCGTCACGAGGCTTGAGCCTGGGCACGGTCGCCAGGCAACGCCTTGACCACGCTCCGCGGTGGCCGGGCTGCCAGCTGGCCGCGATGGTGGGTGGGAGGCTGCCTCACCCGGGGCGGCGCCGGTCCAAGACTCGCGAATCGCGCCGCGTCGCCTCCTCCAGCACCCTCGCCGTCACCGCCGTCACCTTCAGGCCAGTGGGAGGGGGAGGGACGGGGGGGGGGGGAAGGATCAGAGAGCCCATCATCCCCTCCTCGAGCAGCCTGGGCGCGGGGAGGGGGGACGGGACGACGACTCGCCCGCTTCCACAGCGCTAGAACCTCCCTTGGCCAGCGCAGGTGACCTTCAGCACCGGGACAGCGCCCGGCGGAGGTTTCTCCAAGGGGGAGGAAGGAAGGGGTCGCTCCTGGATCCCCAATCCCCTCCTCCTTTCCCCGGGTCTGGGGATGATGGTCATGATGATGGTCATCCATCCTCCGGCCTCAACGGGTCGGGGGTTGGCGGGGTCTTTAAACCTCCAGTCTCCAAGGAAAGGATCCCACCAGGGAAACAGCCAAGCGGGGAGGAACGCTGGAGTTTCAGACGTTGCACAAAAAAATAAAAAAAACTGGAAGGGACCTTCAAGGTCATCTAACCCACCCCCTGCCTTGAGAGCAATGGGATCAATTTTATTCAAAGTCCAAGGCTCCCTTCTTTAAGAAAAGGATCAGGAGGGGCTCTGGAAGCCAATTTTCTACCACCCCAAAGCCCCCCCCAGAACTTCTGCCTGGGTATCAAAAGGAGTGGGGGGGCGGAACGGAGCTGCCCCCACACTCCCAGACTCCCAGACTCTCCGTCCCTCTCACCAAAGAGGTGGGATTCAATTTTTTTTTACTACAGGCGTGGCTTGGTGGGCGTGGCAGGGGAAGGATATTGCAAAATCCCCCTTCCCTCCCCGCCCCACTAACCTGCTTTCCAGCTCCCTTCTCCTCTGCTGGGCAACCAAAGAAGACCCAGCCGATCAGCTGGGGCTCAATGGGAGGCAGAGAAGAGATGGGGTTGAGGCAGTGGTGGGATTCAATTTTTTTTACTATCGGTTCTGTGGGCGTGGCTTGGTGGGCGTGGCTTGGTGGGCGTGGCTTGGTGGGCGTGGCTTGGTGGGCGTGGCAGGGGAAGGATACTGCAAAATCCCCCTTCCCTCCCCCACCCCAGTAACCTGCTTTCCAGTTCCCTTCTCCTGTGCTGGGCAACCAAAGAAGACCCAGCCAATCAGCTGGGACTCAATGGGAGGTGGAGACTAGATGGGGGCGGGGCCAGCCAGAGCTGGGATTGGCCGGTTCTCCAAATGACTCAAAATGTCCGCTGCCGGTTCTCCAGAACTGGTCAGAACCAGCTGAATCCCACCTTCTGAGTGAGGGGGGGAGGGCGGGAAGAATCCAACAGCCCCTCCTCTGCCTTGTGTTTTAGCAACGTCAAGCCCGCGTCATCGAGACAGACCCCCACCACCAAACAGGCCCGCCTGCAAGATTTACACTATGCCGCCAGCACCGGACAGACCCAGTGGCTCCAGATCACCATGCAGAAAGCGGAGTCCCCCAACCAGGCGGATATTAATGTAAATCCCTCCCACCCGTCACCCACACAGCCCCCGGCCCGCCTTGGAAACCTGGGTGTCCTTCTTCTCTCCTGCCGAGAAGATGCCCCTGATTCACTGACCTTCCTTTGCTCGGCTGGGTGGGACACCCTGGGAGGGGAGAGCGGGTCTGAATTGGGAAAAGAATAGAAGAGGTAGTCCTTGACTTACAACCGTTCATTGAGTGACCGTTCCAAGTTGCAATGACACTGAAAAAAAGGGACTTAAGGCCATTTTACAGAGGTTTTTTTTTTATTTATTTTGTCAAGCGATTATAAGATTACAGGGTATAAGTATTATGAATACATGGACACATATAAGAAAAATAAAACAATAGGACAGGGACGGTGGGCACGTTGGTGCATTTATGCGCACCCCCTACAGACCTCTTAGGAAAGGGGGTAGGTCAATAGTAGACAGTCTAAGGTTAAAGTTTTGGGGGTTTGGGAAAGAAACCACAGAGTCAGGTAGAGTATTCCAGACATTGACTACTCTGTTGTTGAAGTCGTATTTCCTGCAATCAAGTTTGGTGCGGTTTACCTTGAGTTTATATCTATTATTTCCTCTTGTGGTTGAAGCTGAAGTATTCACTGACAGGTAGGACATTGCAATGTATAATTTTATGTACTATACTTAGATCGGACCGAAGGTGGCATAGTTCTAGGTTTTCTAGGTCTAGAATTTCAAGTCTGGTGGCATAAGGTATTCTGCAATGAGTAGAGGGGTGGAGAACTCTTCTTGTGAAATATTTCTGGACTTTCTCAACTGTGTTAATATCAGATACATAATGCGGTGTTGTGGCTCTGGGTTCCAGACTGATGAGCCCAATTTGAATATTGGTCTAGCAAATGTTTTGTATGCTCTAGTCAGTAGTGTGATATTCCCAGAGAATATCTGAGTTGGTGTTTTTGAGACTCTTTGATTTATTGTTTAGGAACTTTATCTGTTGTTCTTGGCAGCTTTGCCAAAACTTGGCAAGGTTCTTTCTTGTCGGAGCTAATTAGTTGGGAGCAGCCTTTTTATCCGTGCAGAAACAGGATTCGTAAATGAGACAGTAAAAGGTTGTGCTGTTACCTTTGTCTTGTGTATATTCTCTTGGAGCCAGGTTTGGATCAGAACAGGAATAAGGGGGTTCCAACGAGGCAGCCAACAAGACCAACGATTTCTAGCTTGTGTGTTGAGTAGCAAACAATGAGTATTGGGACAAAACGTTCGCATCAAAATGCATTGAGAACAAAGTTTAATGAGTTTCACCCAGAGCTGTTGAGTACCAAAATATTGCTGTACTTATGTATATATTTATGGCTTCCTTTTAATGTTGCAAAGCCGCCCAGAGTCGCCTTGTGGCAAGAATGGTAGCTAAACAAACAAAATAAATAAATGAAAGAATGCAACAAGCAACCCAGATTCTCCATCATCCAGGTTGCTCTGATGCTGACCCTGACTCCAATGCCTCCTCCTCCTCCTCTGATTCAGCTACTGGAGGGGGCAGCGGCTGACAGGCCACAACATTAAAACTCCCCCAGCTGTCCCCTTGCATTATTTGTGAAAAGTAACAAAGTCAGGATACAAATAAATACACAATTTTTTTTTTAAAAAAAAATAGAAAACAGGAGTGCTTTTTCTCTGAATATTTAAGTCCCAACCTTGAGTGCGGGCCAGCTTCCCAACCTGGAACCCCACATTGGCGGGTGGGGGGGGACAGCCGTAGCAAGCCCCCCTTCCTCTGTTTGGCCTTGGTTAACCTCCGAAGGGCCCTCCCAGGCTGGCTGACCGTCGGTCACTCCGTTTCCCCCCTGCCTTTCTCTGCCAGGGCTTCTCCACGCTGCACACGGCCGCCCTGCACGGACGGCTGGACTGCATGAAGATGCTGATCGAGAAATACAACCTGGACATCAACCTGGCCAGCCTGAGAGGCTGGAGGCCCATTCACCTGGTCCTGGGCCAGGAGAGCAAAGCCATGGCCGTGGAGTGCCTCCAGTACCTGCTCAGCAAAGGCGCGGACGTCAACGTGTAAGCTGGGGAGGGGGCTGGGCTGGGCTGGGGGCCCACCTCTGGAGGTTTGGCAAGGGGTGTGTGTGTGGGTTGCACAGGCAAGCCCGCGGTTCGTTTAGTGGCCGGAGTTACAAGGGCGCTGAATCCGAATCGGAATGGAGCTGGAAGGAAGGGACCTTGGAGGTCTTCTAGTCCAACCCCCTGCTCAAAAGCAGGAGATCTTCAAGTTTTCAGTAACAGGAGAGGCTCGGGGTCAGAGGAGGAGGAGGAGGAAGAGGAGGACTTGGGGCTCTCTGAACTTCGTGGTTTTCTTGCAGATGTTTCATTACCCAACCAGGTGTTCAGTGCCAGGAGAGAGGGGGAGGAAGAAGAGGAGGAGGAGGAGGAGGAGGAGGAGGAGG